CAGGTAACACACACACACACACACACGCACACGCACACACACACACACACACACACACACACACACACACACACACACACACACACACACACACACACACACACACACACACACACACACACACACACACACACACACACACACACACACACACACACACACACACACACACACACACGCACACACACACACACACTGCAGAAATGTCTGTCTTTCTTTGAAACGTCCTCACTTTGCAAAAACTGTGTTATTAAAGTGATCTCTATTTGACTCTATTTCCCATCATCCTTCACCTCTCTGTTCTTCTTCGTTGGTGTCAGGGAGGCTGACGGACACGGCCTCTTCTTCTTCTTCCTCCCGGTCGGAGAGTCCTCAGCTGCTCAGTCCTAAAGAGGGGGCCAGCGCCCCGCCCCCCAGCGTGCACGCCCCCCTGCACACCTTCATGTAGGAAGCTTTATTTAGAGGTCTCCTATCATGCAAAAGTCACTTTGTGATGTCTTTTCTACATCACCATGTCCCCCCGGTGTGTCCCCGGCGTGTCCCCGGTGTGTCAGGAGACTCACAAAGGTTACATCACCACGTGTCCCTGGCGTGTCCCCGGTTTCCCCCCGGTGTGTCCCCGGTGTGTCCCCGGTGTGTCCCCGGTGTGTCCCCGGTGTGTCCCCGGTGTGTCCCCGGTGTGTCCCCGGTGTGTCCCCGGTGTGTCCCCGGCGTGTCCCCGGCGTGTCCCCGGTGTGTCCCCGGTGTGTCCCCGGTGTGTCAGGAGACTCTCAAAGTGTCAGAAATAAACCCCTCTCTCTTCTCCTCCGTACCCACATCTCTAAAAACGGGGGAACAACGGAGCTGATCCAGATTTGCTTCGTCATGACCACATTACTAAAATGTGGGCGGGCTTTACCCCCACGGGCCAATCAGAAACGTTGCTGTCAGAAACAATGAGACGTGTTCTGGAAGTAATATGGTCGGTGTTAGACCCAGAATCATCTCTTTAGTAACAGCTGGAAGAGAGGGGGGTGAAGCTACAAAGATCTGTTTGGTGTTGGAGCAAAACACTTCAGAGACATGTTTTTATGTATTCATCTACATCTGAGACCTGTAATATATGAATAAAAACATTATCATAGGAGACCTTTAAGTACAAATACAAACAATAATAATAGTTTGTTTATTGTTAATTGTTTGTTGTTTATTGACTCTCCTGCAGTGACAGCGGGATCCAGCTGATCTGCGTTTCCAAGGGAACGGGCTTGGGGCTAGTCATCAGGGGCGGAGCTAACCGAGTCGACGGACCAATGGTGTTCATCCAGGAAGTGGTTCCTGCAGGAGACGCCCACAAGGTCAGCTATTTTATTTAGCAATGTGTAAAACATCTTATAACCATTTAATACAAAGATTCTCAAAAAGCTTTTTATTTGGAATTTTATTTAAATGTATTTAAAAAAAATAGCATTTCTTTTTTTTTTACATTTTCTCAATCTTTTTAGCCTTAATTATGATTTGAAAGATCTCCATCACTACATAAACATGTAACATGTAACATGTGTGTTCAGGACGGCCGTCTGCATGCCGGGGATCAGCTGGTCTCGATCAATAAAGAGTCTCTGATCGGGGTCACGTACGAGGAGGCGAGGAGCATCCTGACCAGAACCAAACTCAGGTAGAAACGCACTGAACGATATCTGTCTTTTCTTATAATGAATATTAACGCTTTGTCTGCTGGTTCAGACCGGACCCCACGGTGGAGATCGCCTTCATCCACCGCTCCTCTTCCTCCCCCTCCTCTTCCTTGGGGCCCCACAACCCCGTCTCCCAGCAGGGGGCGGGGGGAGCATCTGTGCCCCAGCAGAGGGCCTCGATGCTGGGGAACTCAGGGGCCTCAGGAGCCCCGGGGGGGACCAGGATCACCTCCAGCAGGAACCCAGTCTGTGAGACCCTGCCCCCCGTCAGCGTGAGGCAGGTGAGGAACACATGAATAAAATAAATATGAATGAGTTATTATGAATTATAACTTATTATTATTAATGATTACAAATGATTATGAATTCATAATTCATAGTGGGAGGTGTATTAATTGCCAGATCCCCTTCTTCTTCTTTCGTGTAACGTCAGAGGTCCAACTCTGTGTCGTGTAGCCATGCCCGCATCTCTGGTCCTAAGTGGAAGAGGCTGGCTTCAGAGGGTGGTCTATATAAAGGGCAGGTGGTCATTATATGTTCGGCAGTCTGTTCAGGGTCACTCGCATGCAGCACTGTCTGCCAGGCCCCACTTCTTCATTGATGTTTAGAAGCGACCGACCTCAGTTCGTAGACGGTTCAGTGTGGTCCATTGCCGGCGTGGTAGGTCGTCTCCTCCTATGGCGCCATCTCCTGGGTCCCAGATGTCAGACCCGGCTTCATGGGTGGGCCCCATGGGGCCGGGCCCGCCCATCCAGGATTTGGGCCCACTGGGCTGAATACAACATTTTAATTGTTTTATTATTATGTTCAGTGGCGGCGCCAGGGTATACTGGGGTAGTCTACAGCCATACCAACAAAAATGGCTTAGCCCCACCTTAGCCCATAGACTGTATATATAACCTTAGCCCCACCATGAACAATTATATTAAAGTAAGCAAACTAAAGTCCGCCAACTCGCGCGGAGTAAATCACACAGACAGCAGTTAGTCAGATTGATTTCAGTAGCCACTTGTCTGGAAATACTGAAACGGTTTTGAAAACTTTTGTCACGTAGTGATCATCTTCTCAATAGAACATCTTTGATAATGTCTTCTGGCCAATCAGAATCAAGATAACGGCGTGGTGTTGTTGCAGGAAGTCCCGACGGAGAATACTTTTGCTGTAGTACATCTCTATATACATCGATACAACTAAAATAATCGAAATAAGACCCCATGGTTTGATGATTGATAGGTGTGTGGGCTGTCTTTCATTCTGACACACAGAACAATGGGGACTATCGACCCTTATCCACAAAGTAAAGTAATTCACACAGCCTCTTCCCTCTCCTCTCTGTGAGGAGCAGCAGGTTCAGCTTTCAGAACAAAGTAACAAAAAACTAAAATGGCGTTCATTTTTTTAAATACGTCGTGTAGTAATAGATGTATTTTTCTTCTTCTCAAGAGAGCACCAGAATGTGTATTTTATGTTAGTATTTCAAAAAGTCTCCTGGGGGAGAATCCCACCCCCCCCTGCAGGGGTTGGGTTTTCAGCATGTCAACTCTTTCACCTGTGGGGAAATTGCAGGATTGGCTCCAGGTCGCCCTTTTTATTTACTACAAGACAAATGTGCCTTTTTATTTCATACAGTTCGATTTGGATTGAATGGGAAATAATCTAAACCTCACGCGTGGCGTTTCACTGTCAAGGGGGGCGATGTATGTAATTACATTGCAAATACTGACTTGAGCCCCACCACTGTATGGGTTAGCCCTACCATAGATTACCCAACACAAATACTCTGG